TCTCTTCCCGGAAGTAAAGTGGTAAGGGAGTCAGCGATGGTCAGAGCGCTGGAAACTCAGCGTGCACATGAAAACCAAGTTGGCAAAGAAAACCCAGCAACGTAAGTGCCATGATTTCTTTGAAACTCATGGAATTCGCTTTGTGGTCTTGTTTTGATTGCGTTATACTCTATATGTGGATCGTGTTACTAATCCTCCTTCTGCCTTGTCCTTTCATCCCCTTCCGCACGTGGAGAAACAGTGCAAGGAGTTCTGGACGTTCGTACGTGAAGCACGGCATGATTATGAGATCAACAATCGCTACATCAAGCCGAAGTTTGGCATGCAGGGGCGTAGCGCTTTGCTCGTCCTCGACTCCTACCAAGGTCACCTTATGAAAGAAGTCAAGAAGAAGTTAGTGCAGTACAACATCGTCCCCGCAGTCATCCCAGCGGGATGCATGGCAGAGGTGCAGCCCCTCGATGTGGCCACCAACAAAAGCTCCAAGGTATCGGTGCGACAGCAGTATCAGGCCTGGTTCGAGCAAGAGGGCATAAACACCTTGACAGCAGCCCTAGGTGTCACGGTAGCCCTAGCAGCATTAAGAGCATCACGGTACCTAAACCATCCGTGAGTTCCTAGGTTTCCCCCGCCCTAAGGTTTTAACCTGTTCTCCCCTTCCGTTTCTTTGTCGTGCAGGCAACATAGAGAAATCGCCTCTCGTGGTCATTCTCAAGCTGATTTCTAGGGCCTGGAGGTTCGTAGACTGGTCGTCTCAGGCTCCACTAGTTTCAAGGAGGGAAAGTGCCAGATCTTCAAGGTGAAGCGGCCGCCTGGATCACCGCGCATTTTCAAGGCGCGCTACGTGGCCAGAGGCTTTAGTCAGCGTGAGGGAGTTGACTTCTTTCAAACCTTCGCTCCGACCCCGAAAATGACAACTCTTCGGGTGTTACTTCACGTAGCAGCACTGCAAGACTACGAGCTGCACTCCCTCGACTTCTACACTGCCTTTCTCTAGGGCCGCCTACACGAGGAGATCTGCCTGCGACGTCTTCCTCGCTTCATTGACACTTTCCCTCCTTGGACCCAGTGGAGCCTAAGACGACCAGTCTAAGGTCTTTGCCAGGCACCCCATGAGTGGCAAGACATGCTATACACCACTTTGGCTGACCTCGGTTTTCTCCCTTCGTCCGCTGACCCGTCGTTGTTTGTTCGCAGAGGCTCCACTCCTTTATTTTTCCTTGTCTACGTCGACAACTTGGTTTTCGCTGTAGCAAACAGGGTTGATCTCGCTTAGGTGAAGTCCGAACTACAGAAGAGACACACGTGCACTGACCTGGGTGAACTGCGCCACTACCTTGGCTTGCAGATCACCAGGGACAGAGCTGCTCACACCATTATGCTCTCGAAGTCACACGTGGTGCAGCATGTTCTTCACCAGTTCGGGCTTCAGTTCTCCACCATACAGCCCACTCCTCTTGTTGTCGACCACAGACTCATCGGCTCTTTTCCCAACGAGTCGTTTGGGTCTAGTGGTCCCTACGTAGAGCTTGTGGGCTGCCTCATGTACCTGATGACTTGTCCTCGTCCGGACCTCGCCTTTCCCCTCAGCATCCTCTCTCGATTTGTTGCGATTGGGAGACACCGTCCTGTTCACTGGACAGCTGCTGTGAGAGTGGCGAAGTACCTGGCGACTACATCAGGCGTGGGGCTTGTGCTTGGAGGGACACAGCCGGTTGTACTGACCGGTCACTGCGACTCTTCGTACACCGACGACGTGGAGACCCAGCGGTCTACTCAGGGGTACTTTTTCCGTTTGGGTGTTGGAGCTATGTCGTGTAGGTCTACTAGGTCGTCGTATGTGGCATAGTCAAGTGCAGAGGCAGAGATCTACGCTGGTGCCATGGCTGCGCAGGAGCTTCATTGGTTGACTTTCTTACTCACTGACCTTGGTGAGCGGCCTCGCTCTGCACTGACCTTGTTCGCTGACAACAAGGCTATGATCCTCCTTTGTCGAGAGCCTCGACTGGAGGGTAGAGTGAAGCACATCGACATAAAGTATTTTCTCCTACAAGAGTTGCAGGGACGCGGCCAGGCTCGGTTGGACTTCGTAGCCTCAGCGGTCAACACAACAGAAATTTTCACCAAGGCCCTAGCGCCTAGTGACCACCACAGGTTCTGTCTGCAGTTAGGCCTTGTTGATACTGGTGCTAGGTTGCTGTAGCATTGTTTCTTTTTGCTTGTTGTACTTGTGTCAAATGTTTCTATCATTTATATATTGTTAGTTAGTCTAGGCTAGAGTGCGTTGCCCTTTAAAGGGTACAACAGTTTCTAGACACACACTTGTATCTCCTTGTTTCCATCCACTCGACATTTCACTAAGCTGCTCTAAGCTACTCTTGTTGAAATAGCCCTAGGCTAGGTTAGGAACCAAATGAGCCATGGCTAGAAGTTAAGAAAAAAAGAGAGATGATTGCATTAGAAAGTTACGAGATTTATACAAGGAAAGCAAAACGAACTGGTGCACCACTTACAAAACATAATAACTACACTACAACTACAAGCAGTTACAAATGTCAGAATCCCAACCACTAGACCATTGGGATAAAAGGGTTTTTTTTCAGTAGCGGGTCAGTGCGCCCATAACCCCCGAGGCAAACGCGTCTGTAACCCCCCCTAGGATCGATCGCGGATCTCACAGTGTAGCTCTACTGACACCCCCCCCCACACTGGGAGGCCCAGGACTGAGCACAGTGGCAACGGCCTACATGTGCATACACAGGGATTCGAACCCGAGACCGCTCTGTTACCATGTCAGAATCCCAACCACTAGACCATTGGGATAAAAAGGCTTGTTTCAGTAGCGGGTCAGAGCACACCATAACCCCCTAGGAAAACGCGCCTGTAACCCCCCCTAGGATCGATCGGGGATCTCACAGTGTAGCTCTACTGACAACAAAAGATGTAAAATATGTTTTGACACGCCCCCATAATTGCTTGTAGGAAAAAGTGTAGTTACGCCCCTTGAATGGGTACACCATGCAGAGTGCGCAGCGGAAGAAGAGAAGTACCAAGGAGGAGGTGAGAGAGAGGGATGAGGAGAGGAGGTGGGGGGGAGCCAAGCGCGGCGAGCCCCTCTTACGAACCCCGTTTTTACAAAGGGGGGAGGGTGAGAGAGGGAGGAGAGGAGGTAGGGGGGAGCCAAGTGCGGCGAGCCCCTGTTACGAACCCCCAACTCCACCCCCTCTTTCAGCCATCCCCTAAACCTCACCCCCCTTTGTTCAGCCGCCACCCGGAACCGCACTCCTTCCGTCCCCCCCTCACCCCCCCCCCACTCCCCCCGCCCCCCCCCCCCCACCCCACTGCAGTAGGAGCAGCAGGGGGGAAGAGAGAAGAGGTGGAGGGACGGCTGCTGGCTGGTCACCCCTGCCACCCCCACACCCTCCCCCCTACCCCTCCTCGGTTGCACGAGCAGCATAAGTGGCAGGAGCCGCGGATGTATCCACCCTCGTCACCCCCACTCACGGCCACCACCCCCAACACACCCCCTTCCCCCCAACGAGCGTGCGCGGGGCTGGCGACGGGCAGAAACCGCCGCACGTTCGGGGCGCGCGACGGGCAGAAAACTGACGCGCGCCCGGAGCGCGCGACGAGCAGAAACTGCCGCGCGCTTGGGGCGCACGATGGGCAAAAACCGCCGCACGCTCGGGGCGCGCGACGGGCAGAAACAGCCGCACGCTCGGGGCGCGCAACGGGCAGGAAACCGACGCGCGCCCGGGGCGCGCGACGAGCAGGAAAGAGGCGCATTTGCGGAAGCTGACGGTGGGTCCAATGAGAAAGGATCTGGGAACGAGCCTGCTCTGATAACATGTTGAAACAGCCCTAGGCTGGGTTAGGAACCAAAGGAGCCATGGCTAGAAGTTAAGAAAAGAAGAGAGATAATTGCATTAGAAAGTTTTGAGACTTATACAAGGAAAGCAAAAGGAATTGGTGCACCACTTACAAAACATAATAACTACACTACATTTACAAGTAGTTATAAAGGATGTAAAACATGTTTCGACAACTCTAAGCTACTTTAAGACCTCTGATGACATGCCTTGGCGTGGGTGGGGGCATGAGACGGTATACAACAGCTGGTTTGTGGGGCGACCATCCGGAGGACGAGGTGGATGGTTAAATACGGTAGGTGTGGTCTCTTACTGCCCTGCCCCACTGGTTCATTTGGCCCCACTGAGAAATAAGGAACTCTAGATAAATTTGCATACCCTGATTGATTAAAGCTAACCTCTTGTGCATTGCATGCCCCTTTGTGTGCCTCACCTGCCCCTATGTGTGCCTCACCCCTATGTGTGCCTCACCCCTCTGTGTGCCTCACCCCTCTGTGTGCCTCACCCCTCTGTGTGCCTCACCCCTCTGTGTGCCTCACCCCTCTGTGTGCCTCACCCCTCTGTGTGCCTCACCCCTCTGTGTGCCTCACCTGCCCCTCTGTGTGCCTCACCTGCCCCTCTGTGTGCCTCTGCCCTTCTCTGCCTCATTTGCCCAAAATGACACTGGTAGTATGTTTACCATTCCTCTTATCTTTTCTTATCACAGATGCTTCAGAGAGTTACTGTACCGTGTGCTCAGTCACGGTAAACTACACCCACTTGCACATCCATCTGAAAACATGAATGTTCAGTACTCCTTTATTACCAAGCTATACACATGAGCCGTCACAAAAATGAAGCTGGGCAACACAACTAGATGGATCAAATGAATGAATCACATATGGTACAAATGAGGTGCCTCAGCAGGCCGATCAGCACTTGACCAGGGCAAAGGCCGCTGTGTGGTGCCACGCGTGCAGCATGGCAGGAGGAGGAGGTGAGATCACATGGCGCAGGCAATGGCCTTGACGAGGGCCACATTTCCCGATGTGGTGCTGCATGTACAAAGTGAGGGGAAACAGCACAGCAGAGAGCGATACGTGTGAGAGAGAGGGGAGAGCAAAGGCACCTCAGGAAAACGACAGCATGGTACTAGCACTGGGAGAAAGGAAGCACGGTGCTAGCATTGAGAGAAAGGAAGAACAGGTGGGGGCAGGGCGGGGGGTGGAGCACTGACGCGAAGTTGGTGACGTCCCCGGCAGGGCGGTAGTAGCCGGTGGCAGAGCCGTAGCAGGAGGCGCTGGTCCAGAACCACAGCAGCCCGCACGACTGCTTGGGCGCCCCCATGCTGTCCGGCACGTTCCACAGCACGCGCAGCGACGCCGCTGCAATGCCGCCGGGGATGTCCACACAGCTGCCCCGCGACGAGTTGGCGGGCAGCCCCGTGCGCACCAGCGTGGGGCCCAACGCGGGGGGCGTGCTGCTGTAGGACGCCGTGTTGTAGATCGCCAGGCTGGTGGCTGACACGGCAGCGGGCGTGCCCTGCACACACACGTTGCTGCCCAGGTACCACCCCGTGGGGCACTGGCAGAACGGGTACCCACTCCCGTCCACCGCACATGTCGCCTGCGCTGGGCACACCGCCCCCACACACGCCGGCGCTGCAAGCAACAGGGAGGGAAGGGCAAAGGGGCGAGGGAGGGGGAAGGTGTGAGAGGTGTGGTGTGAGGAGAGGGGGTGGGTGGAGCAAAGGATCAGAAGGGACGAGCGACCAAGGGAGCGGGGTGGTAGGCAGGGGACCGGGGAGAGAGGGCCACTCACGGACGCAGGTATCTGCACTGACGGCTACGAGGCCGGTGGGGCAGGCGCACTGAGCAGTGCCAGAAGAGCCATCACACACGAGGTTGCCCGGGCACGTGATGGTGCCGCTGCTGCAGGGGTCGGGCTGGCACGTGGCGTTGTTCACCAGCACCTGCCCCGCCCCACACACACACACCGGCTGCCCGTACTGCACCGTGCATGTGGCCGTGGACGGGCATGCCACCCGGTAGCACGGGTCTTGCACTGCAGGGTGTGAGGGAGAGGGGGGGAGAAGGCAGAGAGAGGAGAACAAGGATGGAGGAGAGGGAGATTGAGATGAGGGTGGGGATGGGCATGGGTGGAAAGGAAAGGTGTGGGCACAAAGGACGGAATAGAGGCGAGCCATGGGAGTGGGTGGGCAGAGACGGATTGGAGCCATGCTCACCATAGGGCAGCTGGCCGCCATAGTTGCCGGGAGGGTAGTAGTTGCACGCCCACACATCTGCCTTCGTGCCACACGAGGCCTTGCCACAGCCCACGGTGCGCGTGTTGTTCCAGATGACCTGCGTGTAGTGGCCGCAGTCAGCCCAGTTGCCGGTGCTGCAGCCCCCGGAGAAGACGGCGTACGTGTAGAGGTCGCCCTCGCCCACCCACCAGCTCACGGCCGCCCCATTCGAGTAATAGCCGGCCGGCCCGCCCCCCGACAGGTTCTGCCCCTCGCCGGGGTTGCCGCCGTGCGACAGCCCACAGTTGTACGTGCTGTTTGTGAGGGTTGTCGCCCATGCCTGGGCCTCCGCCGCCACTGGCACGAGCACGAGGGGGACGAGGAGGGGGGGAAACGAGGAGGGGGGTTGAGACATGACGAGCGAGGGGTGGGGATTGGGGTCTGAGAAACGGCAGTGACGGATGTGGACGAGGAGAGGGGACGAGGTGCATGCAGTGGGAGCGGAGGGGGCATGTGAGGTGAGGGCGACAACCCAGTGCACGCACGGAGCACAGCAAGCGCGTTGATAGGCACAGGACCAAACCAAGAGGCAGAGGCACGAGGGAGGGCGAGGGGGGCACTCACGGGAAGCGTTCCAGACGAGGGGGATGGCGCCCACTGCGGCCCTGGCGGCATTCTGGTTGTCCAGATAGTCCGAATTCGCCAACGTTGCTGCATGGCGCCCAGGGGCGAGGCGTGGGGGTAGTGGCGGGAAGGAGGGAGGTGCGTGAGGTAGAGAGGGTGTGAGCAACGCTTGGAAGACTGCAGTGCGAGCAGCAGGCAGCATGGGCAGGAGAAGAGTAGGGAGGATGGAAAAAAGAAGGGCAGGAGGGGAGGAGGGAAAGGGGGGAGCAGCACGAACCGGAGGAGCATTTGTTGTCGATGAGGCGCGTGTAGGGCGGAGGGCACGTGCAGACGGGTGCGCCGAGCATGTAGGTGCATGTGGACACGTCGGGGCACTTCACCCCGTAGCACAGGTCTGCTCGCGAGTAGTGGGGGGGCGTGGGGGAAAGGGGAAGGGTACAGAGGCGGCTGAGCAAGGAAGGCAGCAGGGAGGGGGAAGGGGGGGTGGTGCAAGAGGAGAGGGGGAGGTGGAGGGGGGCGGTGGATGTGGGGGAGGTGGGCACATAGCGAGGAAAGCAGTGAATCAAGGCGGGCGGAGGGGGCAGGACGCAGGGCGGAGGACGGGGAAGAGAGGGGGGGGACGGGGTGGCGACACTGACCAGGGCAGTCACACTTGGAGACGCCATTGGCGGAGGAGCACGTGCAGTTGGCCGGACATGTCACCAGCGAGCAGGGCGCAGCCGCTGGTGGGGGGGAGAGGGAAGGGGACGGGGAGGGAGGGAAGAGGAGCAGGGAAGGTGGGGTGAGGAGGGGCCAGGGAGTTTAAGTGCAGGGGAGGAATGAGGGACGGGTGGGAGAGGGAAAGTGGGGCAGGAAGGGCGGAAGGGGCCAGAAGGGCAAGGAGAGGAGAGGGAGAGGGGCGTACGCTGGCAGGCACCGCTGACGAGGGTGTAGCCCACGGCGCACACACACGTGGCCACGCCATTCACGTTGCTGCACGTGGCCTTGGCGGGACACGTGGTAGACGCACAGGGGTCCGTGATCACTGCACGCACCAACAGGGGCGGAGGGGAGGAAGAAAAGAGGGGTTGGAAGGGCAGGGTGAGGGGAGAGGACGGGCTCAATGCGCGAATGCGGGTATGAGCAAGACGCAGGCAGAGTAGAAAACGATTTCGAAGATAAAGGCATGGGCGTGGGGCGCGAGAAGGAGTTGTCCGCGCTGACTCACCCACGCACTGGCCGGCCGTCATCTGGTAGCCGGCGCTGCACGTGCAAGTGGCGACGCCATTGACGTTGGAGCATGCTGAGTTGGCGGGACACGAGAACCCCGCGCATGGGTCGGGCGCTGACGGGAGGGGCGGCAACGGGAGGCAAGGCAGAAACATGCAAGGAGGCGGAAGGGGCGGAGATGAGAAGGGCGGAACGGCGCAGCAAAGGTAAGGCGGGGGGAGAGGGAGGGAGAGGGGGGAGGGAGGGAGGGAGGGAGGGGGGGGGGGGGGGGGGGGGGGGGGGGGGGGGGGGGGGGGGGGGGGGGGAGGATGGGGGGGACGGGTTGGGGGATGAGATTCTAGAAGGGTGTGATTCAGAGAGGCATAAAAGAATAAGAGGAGCAATCAAGCAGGTGCAGCGAGCGAGAGAGACGGGCAGGAAAAAGCAACTCACCTATGCAGGCGCCGTTGACCGGGTCAAAGCCGGGAAGGCACGTGCAGGTGGCGGCGCCGTTGACGACTGAGCAGTTGGCGTTGGCCTGACACGTGGTGCTCGCGCACGGGTCCGATGGGGGCAACGCTGCTCGCGGGGGATGGGCGGAAGACATGGGGCATGGCAGGGAAAGGGGAGGGGGAGAGGAAGGGAAGAGCGTGATGCAGAGGGGGAAGACATCTCAAAAATGGTGGAGGGGCGGTGCAGTGAACGAGGGGGAGAATGCCGAAAAAAAGGGGAAGGGAGGAAGAACGATGGGGAGGGCAGGAAAGAGCAGCAGGGTGCAGCAGGGAGGAGGAGAGCATACCGGCGCACTGGCCGTTGACCATTTGGAAGCCCGCAGAGCATGTGCAGGTGGCGACGCCGTTGACGTTGGAGCACACCGAGTTGAGCGGACAGTTGGCCGTCGCACAGGGGTCCGGCACTGCGAGGCGGCGAGGGGCGGGGGAGAGGGAGGGGAGAAGAGAGGGGGGGGGGAATTAGCATGGAGGAGCAGGGGCAGGGGCAGGGGCAGGCAAGGAAGGGGATAGAGAGCAGACGGGACGGTATGAGATGCCGTGGAGAGGAGGCGAGGAAGAGAGGGGAGGAATGGAAATCGCAACGGCCGAGAGGTGCTCTTATACGGCGTCGTATTGGCGACGCTCGCGGCACCCGCCATTGCACATGCAGCGAGGCACCATCGACGGCAACACTCACCAACGCACTGCCCATTGACCATCTGGTATCCGGTGTTGCACGTGCACGTGGCGACGCCATTGACGTTGGAGCATGCTGAGTTAGCGGGACAGGTGTACCCCGTGCACGGGTCGGGCACTGGCGTTTGAGAGAGGGGAGAGCAAGGGGGGAGGGATGGGGGAGGGAGCGGAGGGGGAGTGGAGGTGAAGAGATGAAAAGAGATCGAAGCAAAGTAGGAGAGAAGAGGGGAGGGTCGGAGCGCAGGGAGGAGATTGATTGAATGGAGTTGACTCACCGACGCACTGCCCATTGACCATCTGGTATCCGGTGTTGCACGTGCACGTGGCAACGCCGTTGACGTTGGAGCATGCTGAGTTGGCGGGACAGGTGTACCCCGTGCATGGGTCAGTCGGTGTTGCTGGCAGAATGGGGAGAATGGGGAGAAGGGGAAGTAGGGGCACAAGGGCAGAAGAGAGTGAGGACGCGGGTTGCGTGGCGCTCACGCTGCATTGCGCAGCACTGCGGACCAGAAAGCCGACTCACCAACGCACTGCCCGCCAACCATGCTGTATCCAGCGTTGCACGTGCACACGGCGGCACCGTTGACGACGGAGCACGTGGCGTTGACGGGGCAGGTCTTGGTGGCGCAGGGGTACGTGTTAGTGGCGATGGCGGCCTGACACGAGATGGACCTCGCCGTCAGAATAATGCCGCTCGTCGTCCTGCAGTCAACGAAGTCAACGCAGCCAGCGCAGCCAGAGTCAGTCAACGCAGTCAACGGCAAGCATGGAAGAGGAGTGTCAGCATGGGGAGCGGCGGGCGCGCAAGGACGCGCGGGCGTGTGGAGGGATGGGAGCGGCTCACTTGACGCTGGTGGAGGCGTAGCTGAAGTTGTTGGGGTTGGCGGCGGACCATCCGCCGGGGATCTGGTAGCCGGAGCCGGAGCAGCAGCAGTTGGGTTTGTCCCAGAAGAAGAGCTTGCCGCACACCAGGTGGTCCGCCACGCCGTCGTTCACGTTCCACATGATGCGCAGCGACCCCACCGACCCGTTGAACGCGCCCGACAGGTTCACGCACGCGCTCGAGTTTGGCGCGGCGCCGCGCAGCACGGCGGGCCCGAGCGTGGTGGGCGAGTTGGCGTAGTTGGCGGCGTTGTAGAGCACGACGTTGGTGCCGACCTCCGCCCAGCTGGCGGTCGGCGCGCACACGCCGTTGATGATGGCCTGCCCCGCCGCGCACTTGCAGTACGGGTAGCCGCTGCCGTCCACCACGCACGAGGCGCCCGTCGGACACACCACGTTTGCGGGGCACGACGCTGGGGGAAAGGGAAAATGGGAGGGGGAGCACGGGCGCGAGTTAACCACATGTGCTCCGAGGAGTCCCGCCCGTATGATTCGCATAGATAATCCCTCGTAAAATTCGCATATATAATGCTGCGCGCAGGGCGGGCGCGCTAACCTTGCAGCTCGCGACGGCTACCTGCGGCAGCGAGGCGATGCGAAGCTAGACACGCGTGCAGCAGAAGCAGAAACGCGACGCCCTTCATCCTCTCAGTCCTTGGTCGATTGCAATGTGTTGGCGGTGGTGCGATGTGCGCTTGGAGCAGCTGGTCGGAGTAGCGAAGCAGGCAGGACTGGGAGAAAAGTAGTTGGAATTTGGAATGTGATCTTGCTGGACTGAATGGCTCAAGCTCTCTCAATTTACACACTGGAGGGGAGGGATAGCTTGTACACATGATGCTCACCTCCTGCACGCGAAATTGCCTTGCACCAGATGGATACCCTGCACCCGTGGGTTTTGTGCCGTGGGGTTGCACCCACAGTACAAGCACGTCGACCAATAGGAACCACAGAAACTGAGGTCTGACTGAAGAGACTGCAGTCAAAACGTCAACGGTGCGTTACAAAAGTTTTTTATAAGCCCTTTTTGCCCGAAGCGAATTAACGAAACCTCCACGAAATGCAAGAACCAGTTATGCGCCCAGAGGGTAAGGCAAGGTCGGAGGGCTCAACCGGGCATCATGTGTATGTGATATATGTTCTGTAGTTCGTTGTAGGGTTGGGTGAAGTGCGTGACATCCCTCCCCACTTGGACGTGTTGGGTGCATTTGGACTGGGAAAGTGGATAGGGCAAGGGGTGGGAGCTTTCCCATGCACACGTACAGTAACACTGCCCGTTTCATGCTAACGGCCAGGTCAGACCAGCAGACGGTTCCGTTTTTCCCATGTACACTCGAGGTTGTTGGATCTGTGCTCTGCCCTGCGCAGCGCGTACAGTACTGATCGGGTCGGGTGTGACTTGTGGATTTCGTATTCCGACGAGGGGCAAATGCTGTTGGCTTCGTGTCGGGTCGGGGACGGGTTGGACAGAGAGACGCATTTGCTGGCCACAAGTGTTTTGCCCTTGAGGATGGATTGTCAGCAAGGGTACGGAAACTCAGGAGCTTGACCCATCTTCCAAATTACACCCTGTTTCGCGCTAGCAGAGCATCTGGTTGCAGAACATTCACTGGTTGTAGAACGTCACCACGTTTGAAATGGTCTTATCACCGACGGTACAAGCACATTCACAAGAAAGCGGTTAGCTAGGATGCTGCATTGTAAAGAACATTAACCAAGCGTTTCAAAGCGGTTGAAAAGGGTATACAGCGATAAAGAAAATTTTTGCCCCCAGTACCACTCCGTCAGCTGGTGCGGCTTTGCCCGCAGGTTTCAGCCATACGGTTTATGGCACCTGACCGCACTGTAGCAGCTGACGGAGTGGTACTGGGGGCAAAAATTTTCTTTATCGCTGTATACCCTTTTCAACCGCTTTGAAACGCTTGGTTAATGTTCTTTACAATGCAGCATCCTAGCTAACCGCTTTCTTGTGAATGTGCTTGTACCGTCGGTGATAAGACCATTTCAAACGTGGTGACGTTCTACAACCAGTGAATGTTCTGCAACCAGATGCTCTGCTAGCGCGAAACAGGGTGTACCTGACATTGGCGCCGTTCGATTGCACTGTACACCCTGTTTCTCGACCCTCTCACCTTGCGCGATTCGCTGCTACAGTGCGGTCAGGTGCCATAAACCGTATGGCTGAAACCTGCGGGCAAAGCCGCACCAGCTGACGGAGTGGTACTGGGGGCAAAAATTTTCTTTATCGCTGTATACCCTTTTCAACCGCTTTGAAACGCTTGGTTAATGTTCTTTACAATGCAGCATCCTAGCTAACCGCTTTCTTGTGAATGTGCTTGTACCGTCGGTGATAAGACCATTTCAAACGTGGTGACGTTCTACAACCAGTGAATGTTCTGCAACCAGATGCTCTGCTAGCGCGAAACAGGGTGTAACTTTTTGTACAGCCACATCACAGTGTGTCCGAGTCGCCCCTAGGGTTTCCGAACCTAGGGTCACTTCACGACATATTCAACTTGCTGGCAACACAATCTTGCTTCACCATTGTTCAGATTTGACAGCTGTGGAAACAAACAAATCCCACACAGTCAAAACCGCGTTCACCACAAGTAAAACAACGAGCTACAAAATTGTGCATTAAATGCCCTACATGACAACAGGGGCACTAGTACCGGCTGCAATCTCTTCCCCAAGACTCCTGGAGGCCACAGCTGCTTACCCCTCCGTCCAACTCCGAGCTGTGAGAGATAGAAAAAAAAAAACCAAAGGGGTTGAATCGGAAACTCCCCGCCATCCTCCTGAACCAAGCACATCCAGGATGATATGGCGTCTCGTTTCTGCTGAGGTACACCGTGTCGCGCGCCTCGACGAGGTCGTAAATGAGTGGTCGATGTACGTAAGTTGTGATCCCGCAGTGGGTAATATACGCGACTTTTGAGGCGGGTCCAAATACGTTTCACAGCACCGCTACCCTAGGAAGCGCTCATTGCTGTGCTCATTCGAAGGAATGAGGATCGAGTGAGCTAACAGCGGAGAGATGAGTTCGGTTGAAAAGGGGAGTGTTCTTGGTAGAACCAATACCCTCGATTCAGGTTGGGGCAGAAGGGGGCGAAGTTCAATCTACCCAGAGCCCTGCCCGAACTCTTTACACCTTCAAAGTGGCATTGGGGAGGCTGTCGTTGTTGCAGCTAGTGGAAACCAAGCCTTTTTTGCCCGTGAAGTACTGTTGCTTGACCAGCAGGCAACAGTGTTTTTACCGCGGTCCGCAGCGAAAATTACCGCACCAGATTCGTAGGTGGGCCGAACGTACTTCAGGTTCTGGTTCGGATATGCCTAACCTCTCGTGGGGTTTAAAGCCCAGGTGTGCTGCTGTCGAGCCTTTACCGAACCACGCAATACTGTGATAGGGCTGTGGTTACCCCTGGACTGTGAAGCTATCGAACGGCGCCATTTTGTGTACACTCCTCACCGCAACAGTGTCTCTCTTGCAAGAAACCCAGAGAGCAACAGTTCTGTTTCACCATGTCTGGAACCAGCCCTGATGTCAAAAGATAGGGGTACGGGTAAGTAGCTTTCGCGGGGGTACCACTAGGGACCCCGCGCTTTGTAGGGAGCTACAGTGCCAGCGGGGGGCACTTTCCGCCCCTCCGTGCCTCAGACAGAGGAATTATAGAAACAACACATAACTCTTCCCCACATTCACCCACGTGGCACAAGTTTCCATGCCAACTACTGCACTGAGCAACTTGTCAACTGTGCACAGTTGACTTTTGTCCCTTCTGCCAAATCGAATCCTCACTCTGGGTGGCTCGGCTGCCACTGTTCCGAAATCTGTTGAGCTAGTTTGTCGCGCCCTAGATTTCGAAACACAGGCCCAGCTCGCCAGACGGAAACGGAGAACACTAGCATTCCGTCTGGTCTACCGTGTGACTGTTTCCGTCAGTGGTTTCAGACACACATTACAGAAACGCGATTTTGCACATGGGCGTTAAAAAAAACAAGTCTCAGATTAGATAGATGGTTGATTCGTAGATGAATATGAATATCGCGGGAAATGAGGGTATTGAGTTTGGTAGTGCGTCTTCGATATCCTTAATGCATTAACGTAATAAAGCATGCGGTAGTACTTACCTGATTTTAAAATCGTCATTTTATCAAGCAACTTGATATGCTTACTACAACACGAGACTCTACGAAACGACGAACGAGACACTGAAAAGGGACCATAAGCACGTTTCTTTTTAGTATATTTACAACTTCATATGCATTTATTATGGCCAATAAGACAACCATAGCTCCTGACTTAGCAAATTTGATCGAATCACCATATCCGTACGTCGTATGCATAGACGCGTATTTACCTATGTTAACACTTGCGATTGATCTCAAAACCCCGCCTCCTCTGGAGGCATATAGAGAAGGGGCATTGGTTTTAACAACGGAATCTTAAAGAAATCACAAAGGGCACTATTCAGCTAAGAGTAGTATTAATGGTTATCCTTGAACACGTTTCTTTCGTACTACGCACGAACACTTGACTATTTATGCAAATCAATTGCCATTGCATAACAAAAAAACCGTATAGCCTCACCTATATACATAGTAGGGGCTATTGGTATAACAAGGGCACTAAGCAGTTGAAAGTGTTATGAATCGCTATCCTTATACAGGTTTGACCCCTTATGCGCACTGTCAGTTGACTACCTATCCAAATCTATTGCGAATCATGTCCAATCCGAACCGTCTCACCTAGACACATAGTAGGGGCTATTAGTATTAATGAATGGGAGCTATTAATCTTAGAGGGCCCTAAACTGCAGAGGTGATGTGAATGGCCATCCTTGAACAGTCTTGAACCGTCATGCACACTAAGGCTTGATTACATATGCAAATCAATTGCGAGTCATCTCAAAACTGGACAACCTCACCTAGGAACATAGTAGGACCGATTAGTACAAAAACCGGTTGTATAGAATTAAGAAGAAGGCTCGATACAGCTCAGTGTGGTATGCATGGCTAACCATGAACAGATTGGACACGTCCTGCGCACAAGCGATTGATTATATATGCAAATCAATTGCGATCAGGCCCTCAGATTGGTTTGAGGGTATGCTGATGGATCAGCGTGCCCCTGCCAACCAGCTGTCCAAATCAGCGTTGGTGGTTTTCAATATACTGATTCTGTCAGTGTAAAAATTTTCACTGTACTGATCCTTCAGTGTAAGAAAGTCCAAAATAAATATACCTAACTACTAACTAGCTAACTAGCTCATGTCATCATCTGAAGAAGAAACGCTCGCATCATCACCACTGCTACTGCTGCCATCATCATCACTCTCACTGTCAGCGCCTGCAGAACCCTTCATGCCCTCATCTAGTTCCTCCTCCACCTGCACCAGCCGGCGGCCACTCCCCTTAACAAACTTGGCCTTGGCCCGCTTCTTCTCTGGCGCAGCTTGCTCCTTGCGCTTGGTGGGACGCCTTTTCCCGGTGCTCCGCCAGATGTCCACCACCTTATCCCTGTCCATGTCGTAGTCGAGCAGCGATATTGCCATCAAATCTCCCAGCTTGGCGTTGCAGAGACTCGTCCGGCGCCATGACTTTATCACATTCTGCCGGGAAAACCCGCGCTCGCACTCGACTGTGCTGCGCGGCAGAACAGCGACGGCAGCCCACAGACGGACTAAGTTGGGGTAGCTGGTCTGCAAGATGGCCTTCAAACCTGCGTGAAAGGGCTGCTCTTCCTTGGGCGCAGTGGAGAGCACCGGCAGGAACGTGCGCAGCTCCGCTCGAGCTGCACGCTTCTGGACACCTGCCAAACAGGAGAGCACAACCGGGTAGAAAGTCAAGCTCTCAACATGGGAATAACGCAACCACGGAAACGGCAACGCATATACGCAGAGCATTGGGGTTCTCTTTCTAGCTCACCTGGCAAGATCGTGTCCCGGTTCTTGGCCTGGAACAGATGGACGAGGCCGTGCAGGTGCTCCTTGCACTCGGCGTCTCTAGCCTCGACGCCCCTCGGCCACGAGCGGGGCATGAAGAGCTTCACCCCGTTCAAGCGCGTCAGGTCTCCCAAGCGCAGCTCGAGGTTGTACACCAGCTCGCGGGCGAAGGAGCGGCAGCAGGTGTAGTAGCCTTGCATGTCCCCGCTGCTGGTGGTGTATCCCTTCACGGCCTCCTCGTGCAGCTGGAACTTGTGTACCCGGGCCTCACCATCCTTGTCCACCCCCTCCACAGTCATTTCACGGCAGTCGGGGGAGGCGTGTCGCGCGAGAGGATAGGGGGAGAATAGGTACACCGAAACAAAAGATAAGTAACTGGGAGAAGAAGACAAAAGCACTATGTAACTCAACACCTCACCTGACGCTTCTGGAATAGCAGGTTGAGCGCGTTGAGTGCCGTGTGCACATCTGCCAAGAAGAACAGGAAGAAATGAAACTTGAACGACGTCACCAACTGGTACATAGTCTTGTCCGTCTCCTCGAGCATAACGATGCCCGCTGGGAAAACGCGGACGAATCGGGCGATAGCATCGCCCCGACTCAGCCAGCGGACGGAGTGGATCCCCTGGACCTCGATGTTGGTGTGCGTGAAAACCTCGTGCAGCTCCTTGAACTTGCGGTTGTAGTTGCTGGATCTGCCGAGATCTTCCGCCAATGCGCGGATGACCGCGTCGATGATGCCAAGCTCGGGCAGTGCCTTAGCCGCCTCCTTTGCCTTCTCCTTCCCCTTCTACTTCCCATTCTCCCTCCCCTTCTCATTCCCCTTCTCCTTCCCCTTATCCTTCGCCTTGTCATTCCCCTTCTCCTTCCCATTCTCTTTCCCCTTCTCCTTCGCCTTCTCCTTCCCCTTATCCTTCCCCTTCTCCTTCCCCTTTTCCTTCCCCATCTCCTTCCCCTTATCCTTATCCTTCGCCTTCTCCTTCCCTTTCTACTTCCCATTCTCCTTCCCGTTCCCCTTCCCCTTCCCTTTCCCTTTCTCCTTCCCCTTCTCTTTCTCCTTCGCCTTGTCCATCGCCTTCCCCTTTCCCTTTCTCCTTTGCCTTCCCCTTCCCCTTCTCCTTTGCCTTCCCCTTCCCCTTCTCCTTTGCCTTCTCCTTCGCATTGTCCTTCGCCAGGCTCTTCTGCTTCCCCTTCCCTTTCCCTTTCTCCTTCCCCTTCTCATTCTTCTTCTCCTTCCCCTTAGCTTTCGCCTTCTCATTCCCCTTCTCCTTCCCATTCTCCTTCCCCTTATCCTTTGCCTTCTCCTTCCCCTTCTACTTCCCATTCTCCCTCCCCTTCTCATTCCCCTTCTCCTTCCCCTTATCCTTCGCCTTGTCATTCCCCTTCTCCTTCCCATTCTCTTTCCCCTTCTCCTTCGCCTTCTCCTTCCCCTTATCCTTCCCCTTCTCCTTCCCCTTTTCCTTCCCATTCTCCTTCCCCTTATCCTTATCCTTCGCCTTCTCCTTCCCTTTCTACTTCCCATTCTCCTTCCCGTTCCCCTTCCCCATCCCTTTCCCTTTCTCCTTCCCCTTCTCTTTCTCCTTCGCCTTTTCCATCGCCTTCCCCTTTCCCTTCTCCTTTGCCTTCCCCTTCCCCTTCTCCTTTGCCTTCCCCTTCCCCTTCCCCTTCCCCTTCTCCTTTGCCTTCTCCTTCCCAATATCCTTCCCCTTCTCCTTCGCCATCTCCTTCCCCTTCTACTCCTATTTTCTCCTTCCCCTTCCCCTTCCCCTTCCCTTTCTCCATCCCCTTCTCCTTCCCCTTCTCCTTCCCCTTCTCCTTCTTCTTATCCTCCCCATAAGAGACTACAGAAATTTCGAAGGTGTGATCCCTCTGTTGAATAACGAATGCGTAATTGTGGGTAAGGATAGAATGGTGTGCATGCTATTAGGTGGTGTTGTGTGACATATTTATGATGTGAAACAACAATGCTTCAGTTTCAGAACTTAGTGCTTTTCAGAGTTGCACGTTATAGTGATTGCATGCATCCATCAACAAATACCAGTACATATTCATGGAAAAAAAAGTGACCACAATGTTTCCATGGTTGTATAGTTAAAAAAAAATCACGACACTCCTTTATCATAGCAGTTAGTGGGAGCAGGGAGTTGTGTCAGGTACGGTACCAGAAGCATGGAGCGAGAGCCAGGAATGGTTGCAGGGAGTGGGAGATGGTTGACAAAGGCCTTGTTTCATACGTTGTGATATGTCAACAATGATACAAGGCCATATTCTAGTTTCACAAGGTTCACCATTGTTGTTGCAGCGAAGAGGATTGCAGCCACCACCCGGCCTCTTGCTGTTGCAATTGCCGATGCATTCGTTGCACTGTCTTCTGCTGCTCCTGTCATTGCTGCTGCAATCTTTTCTGTTGTTTTTGACTCTGTTACAGATGCTCGTGTCGCTCTTGCTGCTGCTGCTGAGATTGAGGCCACTCTTGGTGGTTTTGATTTTGGATTTGTTGTCGCAGCATCTGCTGCCCCTGCTGCTGCTGCTGCTGCTGCTGCTGCTGCTGCTGCTGCTGCTGCTGCTGCTGCTGCTGCTGCTGCTGCTGTCCCTGCCGCTCCTGCTGTCCCTGCTGCTGCTGCTGTCCCTGCCGCTCCTGCTGTCCCTGCTGCTGCTGCTGTCCCTGCCGCTCCTGCTGTCCCTGCTGCCGCTGCTGTCCCTGCCGCTCCTGCTGTCCCTGCTGCCGCTGCTGTCCCTGCCGCTCCTGTTGTCCCTGCTGCTGCGGCTGCTGCTGCTGCTGCTGGTGCTGTCCCTGCTGAGTCACGCCCTGCAGCTGTTTCCGTCTTTGATGTCGTTGCTGCATCTGCAACCTCCTCAACAGGCGGCGTCGCTTCTGCCCCAACTTCACATGCTGTTGTTCATCCTGCATTTCCCCACTTTGGTCCGCTGGATTATCCACAACGATTGATTGCTGTGTCTCAGGGACTGGGGTCTGGTCTGTATGGCCCGTTGCCTCTGAGTCCGCCTCCTCCACCACAGCCGCTGGCGTTTGATCCATATTTCTCGGTTCGGGTGCCACTTGTCTTTGCTGACGAACGTGTTGCATCCACCTCAGTCTAAAACGAACCACGTTGTCACCATTGTTTTGCGAGGCGTCACCAGGTGTGGGGTTGTTGTGGTCAATTCCCATCTCACCCGCCACTCCACCACTCCATCCTGCACCTCCCCTCCCCGCCCCACTTGCTGCTGCTCCTCCCCTTCCGGCCCCGCTCTCTGCTCCTCCCCTCCCTGCCCCGCTCTCTGCTCCTCCCCTCCCTGCCCCGATCCCTGCTGATCCTCTCCTACCCACCCCGCTCCCTACTGCTCCTCCCCTCCCTACCCCACTTGTGGCTGCTCCTCTCCTACCCGCCCCGCTCCCTGCTGCTCCTCCCCTCCCTACCCCACTTGTGGCTGCTCCTCTCCTACCCACCCCGCTCCCTGCTGCTCCTCCCCTCCCTACCCCACTTGTGGCTGCTCCTCTCCTACCCGCCCCGCTCCCTGCTGCTCCTCCCCTCGCTACCCCACTCTCGACTGCTCCTCCCCTCCCCGCCCCGCTCCCTGCTGCTCCTCCCCTCCCTACCCCATTCTCGACTGCTCCTCCCCTCTCTGCCTCGCTCCCTGCTGCTCCTTCCCTCCCTGTCCCTGCTGATGCTCCTCCCCACCCTGCCCCGATCCCTGCTGCTCCTCTCCTACCCGCCCCACTCCCTGCTGCTCCTCCCCTCTCTACCCCACTCTCGACTGCTCCTCCCCTCCCCGCCTCGCTCCCTGCTGCTCCTCCCCTCCCTACCCCATTCTCGACTGCTCCTCCCCTCTCTGCCTCGCTCCCTGCTGCTCCTTCCCTCCCTGTCCCTGCTGATGCTCCTCCCAACCCTGCCCCGATCCCTGCTGCTCCTCTCCTACCCGCCCCACTCCCTGCTGCTCCTCCCCTCTCTACCCCACTCTCGACTGCTCCTCCCCTCCCCGCCTCGCTCCCTGCTGCTCCTCCCCTACCCGCCGCGTTCTCGGCTGCTCCTCCCCTCCCTGCCCCGCTCTCTTCTCCTCCCCTCTCTACCCCACTCTCGACTGCTCCTCCCTTCCCCGCCTCGCTCCCTGCTGCTCCTCCCCTACCCGCCGCGTTCTCGGCTGCTCCTCCCCTCCCTGCCCCGCTCTCTTCTCCTCCCCTCTCTACCCCACTCTCGACTGCTCCTCCCCTCCCCGCCTCGCTCCCTGCTGCTCCTCCCCTACCCGCCGCGTTCTCGGCTGCTCCTCCCCTCCCTGCCCCGCTCTCTTCTCCTCCCCTCCCCGCCCCGCTGTCGCCTGCTCCTCCCCGCTCGTCCAATCCTCCACTCTCGGATGCTCCTCCCATCTCCCCTAATCCTCCAATCTCTGCTGCTGTTGGAATTGATAATCCCACACCCCCCGAGCGCATGTTTCCGTTGTTTCCTGATTGATTAAGTCCGTTAAATGCCTCCCCAAATATTTCACGGAGTACTGATGGGACAGCCTGTTGGACACCAGCACCCGCATCCATTGGCTGCTCTTCTCTCTCCCCCTCCGACTCTGAACTGCCGTCCTCCTCCTCATCTGATACTTCAACATCTCCATTCTCACCATCTGCCGCGTGAGTCTCGTAGCCGTCCATCACCCCCTCCCCATTCTGAGGTCGTTCATGTTCACGATGTTGCCTCCTAGGCTCGCACAGTACATCTCTGTGGTGACTTCTATTGCATGCACTGCACAGCGCCACATTCACTTGAGCCTCTGCTTGCGTAGCTGTTTGCACACTCATATGCCCTTCCGGAGTGTGAAGTGCCTCCCATGCGTCTCTCAATTGTTTGCGCAAATCACAAGTCAGTCTATTGTGCCCTTTCTCCCCACACTTCCCACATCTACGCAGCTTCCTGCCATCAATCTCACCATGGGACCTCAACCGATTGTTGCGTGGCCTTCCAGACTTCTTTGGGTACACTGGTGGCTCAACTGTTTTGTCTGGTACTATCTCTGTGCGGTCGAAAGTGCGAATCTCCGTGCTGTAGAGCTCCTTCAAAGCGGTTGATGTGTAACACCTGTGGATCATGGCTTGAACCGCCTGTTGGACATCTGCAAACTCGTTGCCACGCGACGGCCGGATGTTGTGGAGCAGTACTGCAAACATGTGCATACAAGGCAGCCCATACTCTCTGCAATTGTACGGGAAAATCAAATGAGTGTGAAATGAATGTCAGGATCCATCATATGACAAACATCAAGAGAAGGCCAGAGATCACAAAAAGGTAATGCATGTAATGACACCCCTAACACCAGGTGCATAACACCAGGTGACAAGTACTTCAAAAAACAGAATCAAAACACATAACTCACTTCGAATAATTACACGTGCACTGCGCCTTCTTCGGATCCGCTGCCTCCATCACCACCACACGCTCCTCCTTAGCTCCAATCTCACGGCTCACATGGTACGAACTTCTGCCAATCTTCTCAACCTTGTACTGAGTCCCCATTTGACAATTAGCACGAATGATAGCTGCTGTTTTGGGGGGGAGATCAGCTACCCCGAGAGTCCCATACAACCCACGACCCTCTTCCATTGCCTTCGCTTGCTGTGTTATGAATGCAAGCAACACTTGGGCTGGATTGTCCCTCCTCCACTTGTGCATAGAGGCATGATGCGACTCCACCGGGTTTGAAGTATAGCACCCAAAACGTGACGCATCAAACAGAAAGGTAGCCCAATGTGCGGCCAATCCATCCCTCTCCAAGTATTGCTTCCCCCCAGGGCACTCTTCCTCGATTTTGTCCATGTAGCCCTACAACACATCTCTGGTCAATGCTGCAGCCGCGAGCTCGATCTTGCCATCACAGTCGGAACCAAACTTTGAATTGAAATTCCTCACCAAGTGTGTGATGCAAAATGCCTCACGCGCCCCTGGCAGCACTCTGGCCGCAGCTGCTTTCCATGCTTTACCGCGATCATGCATCAATGTAAACCTCGCAGTGTTCATCTCAGGGGCAGCTGCCTTCAGCTGGCTCAAAAAATACTCACACGAATTCGCACTCTCACCTTCTACCCACGCACTCCCTAACCTCACCAGCTTATGTTCGCAATCTATCATGCATGCATTCAGGGTGTGGCCACGCCATTTACCTTTGTTGTGACATCCATCTACAAATATGATCGGGAAGCAATTATTCACTATCTCACGGACTCCAGGGTAAATCACTGCAGCACGATAGAACCTCTTCTCATCCAGCATCAATGACACAACGCTTGATGGGTTATTTCACTTGAAAACATCTAAGATGCTACCAATGTATTGGAAACCCGACTCTCCACCTAGACGATCCTCTCGAGTGACATCATCTATTGACCGGCCACACGTAGCATTGCAGCAGTCGACGCCTAACTTTTCCCGCACCATATCTCGTAGTCCAATAGGTCTAAGGACTGTATGAGGATGTACTTCACGCACCAATTGCTTAACCTGTTCCCTCCTAATCCGACCAGGGCGTGGCACACACGTGTGTGCATGCTGCAGCGTCACAGTTTTCACACTAAAGCAGCAATTTCGTGGCCCGGTAGCTACAATCCGAAACGGACAAAAACCCTCAGATGCTTTGGCCTCATTCTTGGGCCAGTCTTTTCCTTTCATAGAAGGGCAACGCACGTCAAGGCGTTCTGGCCTATTGTCCCTATACCACGGCCTAAAGTTGAACCTATCGCCATATTTCTCTATCTCATCTCTAGCAGCGCTTACAGATGCATAGATTTTCCCTTGGTATATGCGGATCTCCTCCGTCTGTTGCCCAAGAAATGCCTGTCAGAATATTATTCTTATGTTCTAGCCTGTAGTGGGGTGCTCGGTGTGCCTTCCTCCCTTTGCTCCTCCTCCTCCTCCGTCTCCCACTGCTGCAGCTGTCGCTGAGGGGGGTGGTTGTGTGGGAGACTCGGGTTTAGGGTTTAAGGGGGGTGCGTGGGAGTAGAGCTAGCGGTGTAGCAGTGGGTGTGTATCAGGGGGGTGGGACTGTGTGCGAGAGGTTGAGTGGAGGTTGTCAGTTTGTCGTTCGCAGCACCTGTAGTCCGGGGCGCTGTCCCGGTAGCCCAGTCGTAGCCAGCTGTGCCAGCCGCCCGTGGGTCCGTTGCCCGTCCGCCGCTATTTGAGCCACGGGGCCTGTTACTCCTGTAGTCCGGGCGCTGTCCGGTAGCCGCTGTGCCAGTCTGCCTCCTGTTGCCCGTGTGTCTGCAGCTTCAGCCGTCGCCTCCTGTCTCCTCTCCCCTCACTCTCCCTCCTCCTCCTCACTTGCCCGTTGTGACTACCACTAGCTTTGCTTATAATTGTGAACTCTAAACTATTTCTTCTTGAACTTGTGCTCAGAATGTGTGGTGACATTGTGATCCACCCTGAGCTTGTTTTGCTTTGCCTGCTCTGCTGATTACACCCCACTTTGGCTATGGGGGTGTGTCCGAATATTATTCTTATGTTCTAGCCTGTAGTGGGGTGCTCTATAGCGAGTACAACCCTTCTAGGGTTTGCTATTTGTATCCCCATTTTTGCTAGTTCATCCCTCTTTCTTTCTTCAAACTTTGACAATGCCCTGATTAAAGAACACATAATGGCAAAGGTAAAGGAATCAAATGTAAGTTGTTTTATGCAACCCAAACAAGGAACGTGCGGCAATACAAGGCATATCCCATACATTGCATCTGTAAATCAGTCAGATCACCTTGAAAGAGAACTTCTGAACATTGTGCACACATGGTTTCTGTCTACACGATAATTTGCGAGTGATGGAAGTCTGAAAACATAAGATAAGAGACACATGTAAGGCAGGAGAATAAAGGATAGACAAGAAAAGGGTGGATTATACTAAAAAATGTGGATGAAACACATGTGCGGGGTGAGTGAAGCTTAGCATTCTGTACAGACCACCGCAAGGAGTCCGTAACATGGTTGATAAACGGCAAGAAAATGCGCGATCAATCATGCGGAAGGTAAGTCGCATGGCACAGTCAGATTATGTAAGTCACGTACGATGTTATGATAGGCTGGTCGAAATCAAGCAAACTTACCATCGACCGCAAGGATCGGAGAAGAGAAATAAAGGGTGCACATGTTTAACGAACCAGAACTCATATCCTGGGTTGCTAGCCAATTAAACATTATCCGGGACAAGGTGATGCTCCTACTAATGGATATGGTGTGGCCACAGATTCGAGAAAAACGCATGGCGCCTATGCTGATTAATAGATAGCTTGAGGCAACGTACGCAATAACTTAGAACGAAGTTTTACATCAGTCTGTGACTTGTCGGAAACCCTAATCTGTGAAGTAGCATTAGACAAGTCCAACAGACGGAGGCAACGTAACGTACGTGAGATGAAGGGATTCAAACAACCTGACGGAATGCTAGTGTTCTCCGTTTCCGTCTGGCGAGCTGGGCCTGTGTTTCGAAATCTAGGGCGCGACAAACTAGCTCAACAGATTTCGGAACAGTGGCAGCCGAGCCACCCAGAGTGAGGATTCGATTTGGCAGAAGGGACAAAAGTCAACTGTGCACAGTTGACAAGTTGCTCAGTGCAGTAGTTGGCATGGAAACTTGTGCCACGTGGGTGAATGTGGGGAAGAGTTCTGTGTTGTTTCTATAATTCCTCTGTCTGAGGCACGGAGGGGCGGAAAGTGCCCCCCGCTGGCACTGTAGCTCCCTACAAAGCGCGGGGTCCCTAGTGGTACCCCCGCGAAAGCTACTTACCCATAGGGGTACAGCTGCTAACACCTCGGAGTAATGGAAAGGATGTGTATGACAGATTGAGGTGAGTGTTAGGCAGCTTCAAAGTAGAAGTTGTTTTCCCTGACTGGGATTTCTTATTACACCCTATTTCTCAGCGTTCTAACAAACGGGAGCCCGGCTACAGTGCGAACGTACGCTTGGATTTTGCGGGCTGGTGCTTGCAGCCGAACCCCAGGTAGGTGGCGGGCAAATGCAGTCCATTTGAACGATACAAAACGTTTTATGACAGAACATTGCTTACGCGTACGGTTGAGTGCGGCGAATTGTGCTTATATGCAATGTTCTGGGACCGTTTTCGATGCGTTGATGTCAGAATAGGCGGCATGTCCATACAGCGAATGTCAGTGTGGCGCGAGCAGGGTGTATGAGTCAGGTGGAATAATTCGGACCTTGGTGTCCAATGAAACTGTCATGAGCGGTCAGCAAAGAAACGACGTGTTGCGACCCAACAAGGTTGGGTTGGGTTGGGTTGACCTGGTCGACCTAACCATCGCGGCTCGGGACCTCACAGAATCTCTGAGAAATTTTGGCACACCCTCTAAGCACTTACAGTGCAATTTATTTCTAGCTTCCCTGCAGACTAGGCGAGTTGTGACGAGAGTCAGAAACTCGTTGCACTATCGGTTACTCTGAAACTAGCCTCGCTGGATTTCCAATTCGTAAACGCATATAATACGAACCTATAGCGATATTTTAAAATTCTCTAGCTCAGGTAACTTGTCGCAATCTTGCTCAGTTGGTCGGGTCAACATGGTTGGCCCGACCAGGTCGACCCAGATCGGGCAGACCCGACCCGACGTGGTTGGGTTGAGCTGGTTGGCTAGATCCGCAACGCAGCCTTCCTAGAAATGAGAA